AACTGCGGATGGGTAGATTTGTAAACATCATTAAGGATCTTGAATAAATAATTTGGTATATACGAAACACTTACTTGATGCGGAAGACGACATAATTTGTGATCTTGATCTTGATGATCACACGAGATTGAATTAATTGGTAGGACTAAATCAGTTTCTCCCTCCTGACCTTCTCTTAACGTAGCAGAAAAGTGATGGGATTATGACTGCGTACCCTAATAGGAGGAGAGAGGACTAATTTATATAGGGGTGTCTTTAGATCTAGTACGTCCATCAAATATCCAGATTAATGGCTTAGATTTGTTTGACTATTAAATAAGGTCTGGCCCAATAGGATAATTAAATGTGAGCCCAATGCTTTCGGGCCACATATTCTTACATTCTCCCACTTTGTCCGAAAGCCCATAATTTAATAGTATAACATTAGGTGCACATAAACAAATCTCGTTATGCCATACATCATAATAAACTATGACATGATAAACCATATAGTGAGAGTTATGGCGGTTGTACACTCTCGATTCGCATACTTCCTTCCATATACTACTACACTAATAGTTCAACACATCAAGTTCCATAATTATATATAAATATCATAATGTCCACTTAATTGTCATGAAGACATTCATTTTTTGTTCTAAACATAATGTATACAAAATCATAATGAACAAGAAATTCGATAATAGTCAGAAACATAACATCAATGAGCTCAAGAGTGTGCCATAACATCATCATGATCAATCATCAATACAACCAAGACCCATTCTATGTACATGTTCTTTAAATGTCTTTGGTTGTAGACCTTTAGTTAATGGATCAGCAATCATAAGGTCTGTTCTTATATGTTCGATGCACACTCTTTGTTTCTGAACTTCCTCCTTTACGGCAAAATACTTTAATTCCATGTGTTTTGCACCCTTAGAATATTTGTCGTTTTTGGAGAAGAAAACTGCTGCAGAATTATCACAATACAATTTCAGTGGCTTGGTAATGGTGTCGACAACCCCAAGTCCTGAAATAAAGTTCCGCAGCCATAA